CCCGGGGCCATTGTGGATCCGACCTCGCCGTTTTGCTACGAGCAGCGTGACGTCCTTCAACCTTTTTCCACTCGCCCAGACACTTGTATCGGGAAGAGTCTGCCGTATACTGAAATTTGCGTGATTCTAGCAAGTATGATCTGAAACTTTGACCTTGAGCTCTGTGATGAGAGTCTAGATTGGCTTGTTTAGAAAAGCCACGCTCTCTGGGGAAAACATCCCTTGATGTGTAGATTGACCCATTGGAGAGGATAAGAGTTGCGTAAGGGAGGTTGGAGGGAGGGCCAAAGTAATTAGAGTACAGATCCGGACGTTTCTGCGCGTATACCACAACCATGGGGTGTGATAACCATCTTTTACGACGCACCGTGTTCCGATTACAATACACCGCTCTACATAAACAGTAATGGTATCTATCATTGAGGAAGCTGTTGTGTCGCTAGTATTTTAATAACACCACTGATTGCCTGGAAGCAATGGGTGGCGATTGCATAATCATCCATTCTCCACTTTTGGCCTTCCTTTTTCTCCCATTTTTGAGGGTCCTATGTAGGGCATTAAGAGCAGCAGTGTTAGACAAAAGGTGCATAGCCCCATTGCATCCCAGAAAGGTCCCAGGTCAGCATGGAACTGAAATCGAGATGTGGACTACATTCGGAGTTGGGATCCAAGGTAGGAAGGTTGCTGAGAGCTACACTCTCTGGGACAGCATCCCCCACACCATTCAGTGGGTCAAGGACCGTGTCCAATAGCTGCTCCAGGCGTGCCTGCGCTTGCTTGCAGGATTTTGAGTTAGTGCTACCTGGTGGAGCAACCCAGGTCAGACACGAGATGAAAATGGTTACATCGCGGATTGCCTTGGCCCGCGAGAGGCTAGGATAGGTATTCCTGCCGCCAGAGGTGTGGGAATTATGATGGAGCAATTCAAGTAGTAGAATCTCAGCACAGGGAAGCCCATACGGTAGAAACTTAAGGTTGTTTATCAGCGCGTAACTCAAAGGAATGGATACAGATGAGTGGATGGAGGTTGGCTTCACATACCAGTAGTGATATATCTGATGTTACTTCTCTCACTCGTTCCCTCTCCTCGTTGATGACGAGCAGGGTCGTGATGATCTCCTGTGCCACCAAGACAAGAGACGGGGGGTATCCCTGTGCGCCAAGCTGTTGCGCGGGTCTTAATATTAGAAGCTTGGAGTGGAGGAAATCGAGGTAGATGTAGAGCAAGGTAAGAATCTCTTGGCCCAGGAGGGGCTTTCGCCACATGTCGCTGGTATATTTCATAGAGCGGGGACAGGATTGCCATATCGATTGGAGTCTTTCCAATAATTCTCTGGGTTATGTGTTAGTTTTCGATGAAGGGAGTAGTTTGCATTCTGGTGGCCGACATACGGGGCCTTGTCTATTGTAGTTGATGTGTTCGTCCCAAGATGGAGTTCCAGAGTCTCTTCCTTGATGACGGCCAAGAGAAATCGTAGACGAATGAAACTTATTGAAATGCAGTTCGCATTGCCGTTGAAGCCCAACGCATCAGCGGAATCATCACACTGACTTTCCATGTCGGTAGTAGCAGTCAGACCATCAAAATTCCTATCTGCCGGGGCCTCCATATCACAGTACTGACGTGCCATCAGTGGCGGCCGGCTAAGCACTGTAGCTATGGTTTTATCCATGGTGTAGACAATGGCGAAGCATCGTCGGTGCCACTGCTGCATGAAGTCGAGCTGCCCTCCCACTGACGGGGTGGTACGATGAAAGCCCGCCGCGTAAATCGAAGATACGAGCTCAGCCAAGGATGAATAAACGGCTTGACCTAAAGAATGGTCCGTTATTTTTGCTCTGAATAATCTAAGACAGACTACTGACTGTTGTCAACGGATCGCCTATAGGTAAGCAGAAAGCGATTATATCTAAAACAGATGCCCAATTCATCACACACCGGCACAGGAGCGGCAAGTTCCACGAGCATGTCCGTGACTTTCTGAAATTCTGTTCGTAATTCACTCAGTTCCCGTTTATCAGGATCTGCAGCGGCAAGGTCACGGTTGTGGATATGTAGCAACGCGTAACTGGACATCACGAGGACATTACCGATTGTTTCCCAGCGAAGGTTTTCCCCACCAATATGCTGATGAAGGTCATGGACCGATGCTGTCTCCGCGATGCGTATGGGATGGTGGGAATTGTGGGAGATACGGGAAACAACGCAGGCCTTAGACTGTTCGTCTGTGCCATCAAAATCGCGCAGCAGATGCCAAAGAGATTCCCATGCAGGGAGCAGGACCGATGCTGGAAGGATCGGCAAGTACTTAATGCTATACAGGTGCACCACCAGCTTTCGTAACAAAGACAAATTCCGCTGGACAAACTCCACCACTTGAAGACCCAACCCAAGTTGACTAGGGCTTATTGGGTGGCTAACCAAGACTGGTCCCTCTCCACATGGGATATCTGGGGTTGCTTGGTCAGGCTGGCGCCCGCTGGTTAAAGCTCGGTCACCAAGAGAGGCTAGCACACCAGCGTTCTCGATCGCTGAGCTTTCAACAGTAATAACTAGTCCTGGCGCCGCTGAGGACCTATCTCCAGCCGCAATCGGCGGATCTACCACCGAACTGACACGGAAAAGTTAAAGGAATCCTCTGCAAACATCGCCACAGGCCCGCAGTGATCAGCGGGGCCACATTCCGCATACCTTTGCAACAATCCACATGGCGGATTCTTGCCCTGCTTGTCTTGAAGCAGAGATTCATAGTTGCGAGCCGGTCGGAATCCTCGTGTCGCCGGAAGAGGTGCATAGACACAACGTAGGTTCTTCTTCCTGCAGCGAGCACAGATCGGCAACGAATGGTCACATTTGGTCTTGCGCTTGCGACATGCCTCGCAAGCCTGCAACCTGCCGTTCCGCCGCAGCGGGCCGAGTCCCGGTGCCATGGTTTTCTCTCCTCGAAAAACTGACATTCGCGGCAGATGTTATCAACTTTTTGTCGGAAGGGCGAGGTGGGAAGAGATGGCGGAACGGAACTACTTGAAGAGTCAAACGCATTGACGCGGGTCCCGGGACCCGCGCTTCCTAAAAGAGTATGTCCGCTCCGCCTCGTCCGCGGAACGGGTGGTACGGGTGTTCTTCCCTCCGAGCGTGTGTTGTGATTTCGATTCAATGGCATGAAACTGGACAAATGCTTGCCATGGAAGCTTGTGAAATAAATAACGTCACAGTTTCAAGCGAGATGCTGTTGCTGTCGGATGTGACCTTCAGGTATAGAAAGCTAGTCAGACATGTTACCCCCCACCTAGTACCCTACTATAGAAACCGATACTGTATTGACACAAGGGCAGGATTTTCAGACCACTGGGACGCATATAGAAGTTCACATAATAGGTATCCAATGAGGAGAATGTTCACATGATTCGAATATGACAGTTCCTATGTCTGTATACTATATACCACAACCTGTCATCCTTCGGCAGCTTCACTTCAGGAGCACCTTTTGAGTATCATAGGCATAAACGAGCTCCCCGTGCCAGAATTTGCTCGCATCTGCCTTGACCGTATACCACGCCTGTTCCAGAGCGTCAACTACCTCGGCCGGCAAAGGGCCCTGTTCCAAGTCATTCAAGTTGCTTTGCAGCTGCTCGAAGCTGCTAAACCCAGTAATAATGCCATCATGCCCATTCGTGATATTCAACGCCGAGTGATGAACACACCAGCGAAGGGCTACCTCCACCATCGAGAGTCCATATTTCTGAATTACAGGCTCGATAATCTCCAAAGCATGGAAGGTGCTCGATTTGAAGTACCGGTCACGATACATCTTGCCGAGCACAGCGTTCTGATCACTGAACCTACCATCAGTAGGCGTGCCAGTGGTCTTGTACTTACCAGAAAAGAACCCTCCAGCCAAAGGGTTAAAAATAACCACGTCGATGCCCCATCGCCGACAGCATGGGATGAGCTCATCCTCGATGCCTCGTGCTACAGCCAAGGAACATGATTAGCCGACCGTCGCCTCAAATGCCTTCAACCAACAATGGGATTCATACTCAGCGCATTATAGACAGCTTGATAGATCGTGGGTCGAACCCAGCCGCGTTCATTGCACATAGTTGCGATTTCAGCTACTTCACAAGCAGAAAAGTTGCTGAGACCCAGCTGCTTGAACTTCCCCTGACGATACAACTTGTCAAGGGCTTGGACGGTGTCGGCATAAGGAGTGGTGCGATCAGGTCCGTGAAGATAGTAAATGTCAACGCAGTCGGTTCCGAGCTCCTGCAGAGACTCATTCAGTTTCTCCTCAAGCACCGCCGGTCGATGAGAACCAGCACTGATCGGATACCATTTCGTAGCGATCGACAATCCTCGTTCCTCCCAGCCTGCCTGGCGGGTAAAGGCTTCCTGACGGCCGGCGTCGTACAGACGAGCGGTGTCTACCTCAGCATAGCCTCTCTGCTGGAAGAGATCTAGGCACCGCTTAAACTCATCCAGGCTGGTGATGCGGGCGCCGTGGGTAGAATCCGGACCCAGGGTCATCAGACCGAGGATGATTCGCCTTTTGGAATTGATTTCAGGTGCCATTGTGTAGGTAAAGGTTCTGAAGATGGCTGAAGCGAGATTGGGTCTCACTCAGAGCGTGAGGCCTGGGCAAAGGAGAGTAACTTTCTGTCTTAGGCTTAATCTTGATATAAGGTGCCAATATATATAGCAGTAGCCTTGGGGCAGCAGTTAGGCTTACATCCTAAAATCCGACTCCAGGCTAAGTCCGGGGGGGAAGAAACGACGGAAAGCAACGCTGCCGACCAGCCGGCGGTTGCTGCTACGAATCTATTCCGGTTGTGGATCAGTGGGACGAGTGGGCCGCGATGGGAAGACGCCCCTTCTCTCTTATCAAGATATTACTACTCTGGCAATGGGATAACTCTCTAGTTTTCCCAATCAGTTTCTAGCCATCGAATCAGTCTTGACGGTCTACAAGAAGGAATAAAATTATGGTCTCGGCATTGCTGATCGGAGGCACTGGCCTTGTGGCAAGTCACTTTTGCGCAAGATCCTATCCACTAGAGCTAACGAACAACTAGGGCTCCCATCTCCTCAAGAACCTCGTTCTCCACCCGACGATAGTCTCAATCAATACTTTTTCGCGCCGCAATCCTTCCAATGCAAACATTCTTTCAGAAAAGCTCGAGCCGTTTGTCTCGCCAGACACATCCCAATGGGCCGAGGGGATTCGCCATCTCTCGTCTCCGCCTGATCTTTTCTTTTCTGCATTTGGGACAACCCGGGCGGCAGCAGGCAGCTTCGAAGCTCAATACAAACTCGAGCATGATTTGCACCTAGAATTAGCGAAAGCAGCCAAAGCAGCCGGTAGCAGAGTTTGTGTTCTCATATCATCCCCCTTTGCCAATGAGAACTCCTCTATGGCATACGCCCGAATGAAGGGCCAAATTGAAGAAGGCATCAAGGCGTTGAAGTTTCAGAAGACCATTATTCTTCAACCAGGTATCATACTTGGTGCTCGTGGTGAGAGCCGGGTTGGGGAAGCTATAGCGCAAGAGGTGGTGAAAGTAATTGGTCTTATCTTTCCATCAATCAGAGATATGATGGGACAAGACGCTCAGGTTATAGCTCGAGCTGCTGTGACTGCCGGGTTGAGGGCGTTGGAAGAGACAAACTCGGCCAATACTGCGGCCATCGAAATTATTAAAAGGGGTGAGCTTCTGCAACATGCGAGCCCTTAATTGTTTCAACCTGGGAGACAATATGAAGGGAATATGTTGTCAGACCATGTATGCAAGTGAAGTCCTGTTCTACTAGCTCTATTATTGTATGTATGAATTTAAGAGAGGTGAGTGGCGTATAGAGTGTATAGATCGAGGTCGGTGGTAGCCTTGTTCTAGAAGTCGCTGTTCCTGCAACGCCTTGGCGCAACACCACGTTAGTCAATAAAATCATTTATATAAACCTATCTACAGCCCATTCATGGTCAGTGAGCGTCAATTGATCTACTGTAGCCAACAATGTTTTCTAAGGGAATCACAGGTAATATGCTTCCATGTACTGTCGCTCATGACTTACGGGTGTGAGAAATATATAGTTTCGGTGTTTACCCCGTGACTTCGCGTTGAAGGGCGACCACACTTTTACGCGCCATGTGGTGTCGTATTTTCATGCATACATACTGGAATAATAGAAGATAAAGTATGGTAAATATATCTATTATAGGTAACATATTTCTGCTTTAAGCTATTGTCACTAGAGACCGCTGCTTGTCAATTACTAGTAGATTGCCTCTTGTCTAGTTCTGCAAGCTAGGGATGATCTATTCCTTCTTGATCTTTCCAATGGGCAGGATAGTTCAACGTTTTACTTCTTCACTAGTAAAGCTATCCACACGCGAGAACCAAGCAGAATATCGAAATACTTGTCTGGACGCGTATTCAAATGGTTTATGAGGTTGTTTATCCTCCTATGTTTACTTTCGAAGGGGACTATCGTCAATATATGGCTTCTTTTCGAGCTTAAGATAATAATACTCTCATGCTACAATTAAGCGGCACTATAGACAGATCGGACTATGCATAACGTCAACCGCTTTGCTATAAGGCGATTGTCTGGATACGCTGGTGTACAGGCCAGTCCATTGGAGTAGCGCTGCAGGACCAGGGTTCCGCAGTTAGATAGCAAGGTCTTGGTTCACCGCCATCACAACTCATGTTACTGTCACTGAGGCTGAAATTCAATTTGGCACTCGTGTTCCTGCCAAGGTCAGTGAGAATACCGGTCAACCATATGCTTGGGGGGATCATACTCGCACGCCACTGCAACCTTCATCATAGAAGACTTCAAAACGACTAGTGATGCCAGGGGAGATCTTGTCAAACCCTGCTCCAGTCTCGGTGGTATATTTGCGATAGAGTGCCGCCACAAATGTGGTCATTTCTGCCATGGCAAGACTGCAAAGGTAAGTAGTCGATCTTGATATTGTCCATTGCAGGGGGCGTCTTACTGCATTCCGATGCACATCCTGCCACCGCTGGAGAAGGCCCAGAAGAACCGGTTCATTTGCGTGAGATCCTGTGAGGGGTCGAGCCAGCGGTCTGGGTTAAATTTCAGCGGATCTATGAAGACATCTGCGTTTCGGTGCAATGTATATGGTGAGATTGAAACGACGGTACGGGCGGGGATCAGATAACCGTCAATGGTGATAGATGCCGGTGATGATCTTGGTTCAGATGCTGGCAGCGGTGCGAAGAGCCTGAGCGTTTCTTTGATAACTGCCTCCGCATACGGCAATTTATCCGCTGCTTCTACTCCGGGGATGCCATCCGCGTTAAGGTCTTTCTCAGAAAGACTCCAAGCTTCGTCGATGAGTTTCTGTTGGAACTTCTTGTGCTCGGGGCGAGACAGTGACCAGATTGTGAACATCAAAGTATCACTTGTCGTATCAATGCCGCCATCGAGCTGATCTGCACATTCAGATGCAATATCGAGATCGTCCAAGCCGCCATCTTTCATGGTCCGATGGTGTTTCCAGAGCTTTGAGATAAGAGACGACTGTTCAGCCTTCTCAGCAACTGAAGCATCAGCAAATCTCTGGAAAGCCTTGGTTGCGTGGAGTTTGATACTTGTGTAGGGAGTTGGTTTCTGCATTGGGTAGAATTGGCGAGCAACGCAACCGATGATCCCAGTCTGCGAGTATAGCCATGCTGTGAATTTGGGATGATGGACAGTAAACCATGAAAGAGTGCGACTACCGGTGGCAAGGATATCATGAAGAAGAGCACGGTCATCCGTCATACCATCTAGACATGCCGTCTTCCCGAAATCGCCGTAGAGGAACTCCGTAATGTTATCCAAGGAAAAGTAATGCAAGGTAGTAAAAATGTTGTGGGATCGGCCCTCTCTTTCCAGAAGTTCCATATACTTTCTAACCTTTGTTTCAATCATAAGTGCGTTTCGTCCTTTTAGCATTGCAGATTTTGCATAGGCGTGGGCAAAGAGTTTCTTCCGTTCGGCATGCTGCTTCACCGTATTGAACGAGAACATGTTCTTCCGCCCGTATATTGCAAACATATGATAGAAGTTGGTCCTTTCGAAGCCGCTGCCGGCCCCATATATCGCGCGCAACGCAGACAGGCTGTTGAATGCCACTTCATTTGGACCGACGCGAACTACTGGACCGTATCTCTCATGAAGAGCGTGTATCTTGCGTGTGCGAGTGCCCTTGTAGTCCTCGTACGCAAGTCTCCACCTGGTCAGGGCAAAAGACTTGGGTCCCGGGATTCGTGCTAGAGGGCTTAAGAACAATGACCAGCATATGTAATAAAGTAGGAAGGCTACACTGCCTGTAGCAATTGCAGCGACTGTAATGGTCATTTCAATGCAGGTAAGCTAGGACTTCTTCCAATTGAACTTTCTAGTCAAATATCCTTCTCTCCGCCTCCCGCATTTCGTGATGGCATACGGCGGCCGGAGGCGTCATTTAATATAGCCGTCATTTGGTTGGATAAGACTGATATCCTCACGGTGGAAGGAAAATGATATGGTGACGCAGAGAAGAGCCGTAGCGGCGGTTAGAACCGGATGCATGCGGGGTGATAGTCAAGCACGCCGTATCATTTTCAAGATATCGATCTTCTCCAACTTGATCGTATTCCGACCCCGCACCCCACGAGGCTTCATATTGAGGAGGTATGCAAGTGCACTCCGATAACGGATCAGTGAAGGATTATAATTCTGGACTATGTACGGGGTAGTGCTTGGATAACATGCCTAGTGGCCCCAGCCTCGAGTTGAACTTTGGTCCTTCTATGCGGATTCACCATGGAATGAGCGCAACAGATAATATCCTTATATATGAAATGGGCCTTTACAATATCCCAAGCCAGATTCCAGAGCCAGACCTTTGAGCGTCCAAGAGTTAGCCGAATTTCATTGGTCTTGGTCTCCTGTGCCGTTCAAGATGCAGTTGGCCGACCTCGGAGATCCTAATAGTAGAGGCACGGTCATGGAGACGTTGGCAAAGCACTCCGAAGGGGCAAATGCTACGACTAACCAGTCAGACCATTCCTATACTAATCAAGGAAAGATTAAGGATTTCACAATGGACCGAGACAACCCGAAGACGGTCCTATCTCCCACTGGTTTATACGACCGTGATTGTGATCCAACGAATCAGGCATTAACTACTCCTGCGGTCTCCGACGAGGACCTAGAATGATATATCCCACTCTCTATCCTTTTATTATTTATGACTCCACAGCAATGGAAGCGTGGCTGTGATATCCTTGTCCCCGCCTGGGAATGCTGCTCAGTAGTCCGTTGATCCCTATCGAGTCCCTCGTAGGTAACTGTACACCAGATGCTTCCTTGTCTCCCAACCTCGAGGACGGAAGACACTGCCCACCAGAGGCACACCAAGGCTATACTCAGATATCTTAATCTCACGCCATGGATCTCAAGGACAAACCCATTCGACTACCCGCTCATTTCCCGTCGCCTGGAAAGACGAACCGCGAGCCATCCAAATCGCCCATAGGGGTTCTATTACCAGAATAAGTAGTAACTACCTCAAACTGGCCATCAAGACCGGGTGCCTAACCTATCCACCGTCCTTGTGCGCCGCCCCAACCCATTGACCAGCAGGACCACACAAACAGCTAAAGATCTAGCTTAGCAGATCCTGCATCAAGTTCCTTCATACATTTCCCCGGTATCTTTGTCATACGACGTCTTGTAGCTTTACTGGTCAATATTTTCGTCGTTGGCCAGGGTTTCCATACAAGCCTGGTTAATCTAGAACTCTTAGGGCCCAAGAGTCGCCGGAAGTTTGACAAATGAATATGCAATAATTTACCGGGCCGTCTTTCTCTTCAATGTGCCCAATTGATTTTACACACCATAGAGGGATAAATGCAAAAACATGCGTATAAGTACCAGTGATGTAAGGTATATGTTCTTACGTGCTCAAGAGTGTAAAAGATAGGCTGCTGGCTGTGATATCCTGTTCAAATCTAAATACCTAACATCTCTATTGATTACGTATTGAGCCATGTTGCCTGGATGATAATGCAGTGTTCAACGTCAATAAATACTATTAACGAATGGATCAAGAGAAACCCTAAGCATGAAGCAATAAATCAGACGCCGTTCCCAGCCACATGCATATTACTGTGCGGAGGCAGAAACCATTAGGCACTAGCATTTGCTCACGGTCAGTATTAAAGTAAGTGACAAACTATGCTAGACTACTAACCTGTCAGAATAGATCACTATCCAAAGTGGACGCCGGCACCGGCGCCCACGCCGACATCTGCGGCCACCTCAGCATCAGCATCAGCGTTCGCACCAACGTGGATTCCGAAGGGCTCAGCGACCGCAAAGACGGCGAGTAAAGCGGTTGCAAGAGCGGAGACAAGTGTGAATTGCATCTTGTAAATTGAAAAGCGGCTCTGTATATGTTCCTTCAGTCTTCTATGTAATCACCGTAGCGACAAAATCTCCGGCCAACTTACTGTTGAAACTGAGGCGTTAGAGAAAGTTAGATGAAGATGAAAAGGTCGGTAGAATGTTTGTTGGGATGATAGATGAGTGAAGCAAGAGTATATCTGAGCAGGAGAATCGGGGGGACTTTTTATACCTTTTCCACGTATAAGGTGGCCCATATTCGAGATCCGGTAGCTATATCCAGGAGCGTAGATGTCTTAGGATCTGACACCGCGGACTGAAGTTTATCACCGCATCATTCTCTTTGTTATCGTGATAGAAGTGGAAAGATCTTCGCTCTACCATACGGAAGGAAGAAGTCGAGGTTGTGTTCTCAATTTTCAGATAGCGTTGGGTCTAATCTTTCACTCAAATTTGCGGCAATGATTGAGAAGCCGAGGAGACTCGAGAATCTGACCGTCCAAGTCCATTCTATTCAGCAGCACTCTAACTGCGTAATTTTCAATATGCTTATCTGCAAGTATGATCAATCGAGGTGAAGAATTGCGTCAATTGCTCCGAGTTTGAGAACAAATGCCACTATCGGTGCATATTTGAAACATCGCCTGCCGGGTCTTGTATACTCTCCTTTTACTATCTGTATTTATATCCTAATCAGTTAATATTTTTTTTTTCATTTTCTACATGCACAATGGACACTAAGTCTCACATAGTTGCTTCTAAAATTCTTCTAAATTTACTCCGGCTCCAGTTAGAGCAGTCTATCTTGAGCCTCCCCTACCATCACCCCCGCTATAACTGCGTATCTGCCCCTGTATCGTGGAAATCTGATCTACTCGATGTACTCTACTGCTGCTTTTTTATCTTCCCCATATCTCCTCTTGACTGTGTTCACTCTCGTTCGGGGTTGTTTATCGATTTGAAGGTCTCTATGTTTGAGCTTCACATACATATATTACTTTTTAACACCACAGTCCATAGATGGTTAGACTAGTAGACTTGGTCAACGCAAAGTAAGCTTTGTGACTGCATAACTATCGGAAACTGATTCGATCCGAACGGCATTTCGACCATTGGCGATTTGCTATGATGACCTAGACCGGTCCCTGTACGAATGAATTGCCCAAAACCATCCTCATCGGAGGTTACACACTCTTTAGTATTGCTTTTGGTTCCTGTTTCGTGGTTATATTTCGACTGGCTGGGTAGCTCACTCTTTCCATTGACGGCCCCTTCACACCTACTCTTCCCCTTCGAACTCTCTACTAGTATGCATTACTATCTCAACCCATTCGACACACAGTTGCAAGTCGCGATTACGTCTACTAAGCTATACGGAATCATGCGCCAAGCTCTGGCCTCATTGAGTGCAACTGAACCCTTCTACCATCCCCAACTACCAAGACTGCGTCCGCGAGCATGGCAATGGACAGGCAACCACGTCACTTCTGAAATGGCAAGGACTACCCCCGAATTGCAATCTAGGGAAAGAGCTCAACCCCGAGAAAATCCCCATAGAACGGTCTTGTTGAGATGTACATACACTGTGGTTGCCTTCGGGATTCGGACGACGTTGATGCTTCGCCACTCGAACGGCTCTCGGTGGTCGGGGCTTGGCGGCAACCCTATATCGCAATAAATACAGCGATGCGCCATCGTCTTCTATCGCTGAAAGAATAAAGACGTTAGGTGAACTGGAGTTACTTTTGGAGAGCTATACCTCAACCACAGATCTTTAAAACACTATCAATGGCATCCAATCTCACGCTGCATCGAGTGACCACCCTCGAAGAATTGGAACCGCTATATCAAGTCGGAGCGGACGCCTTCCGAGATGACCCATGTATGGACTGGTTCTACCCTGGTGGTCGCGATCATCCCGATGATTTCGTTTTGCTATGGAAGCATATCTTGCAGATGGAATTCTTTGACAAGGGGAAGTTTATTCTTGCCGCCACAATCCGAGATCTCGACGATGAGACGTGTGCGGGCAGAGTAGTGGGATTCGCGGTTTGGGAACGGAATGGGGTTTGCGATGCTGCCAGGAGTTGGCAAGGAACTAGCCTGTCCAAAAGTATGTGGTTCGACCTCTGAGATTTTCTTAACTGATATCATCGAGTGTGGGTTCCTGGACTAATGAATGTATGTCTGCTCCAGAGCTGAAACGGCTCACTCTCAACCTAAAGATCGCTTATACGTTTCGTCTGGACACACCAAAACGATCCATATCTTGGCCAAAGCTGAACCACTATCAGCATGAGCTCAAGTTAGCTAAGGCTGGTCAACCGACCGAGTCGTGGTACCTAAGCATCTTGGCCGTCAGCTCAAAGGCTCAGGGCCAAGGCGTCGGAAGGAAATTGCTGCAATGGGGAATTGATCGGTCGGAGGAAGAGTGTATCCCGGCTACTTTGGTAGCAACTGGCGCAGGGCTTCATTTGTATGAAAGTACGGGTTTTGAACGCACCGGCTGGTTGTATTTCGATGATGAACGGCAGAAACAGACGATTATGAGGAGAGATATCAGGTTGACTTGATTCTTGTATGACTCACGCAAGACCACATACGTGAGTAATGGTCTCAGTTGTATTCAGTACCAATTTTGCAGCAGTTCTTACAATACTCATGAAGCCGATAAGCTACGTATTAATTTGTATCCTGACTATTCTGGTCGCCCGTCTCCAACTTGATGGCCAGGCTTGAAGTTTCCATAGCACGCCTGTTGATACATGGCCTTCTTTTTAAGTATGGGCACAGCATTTAGGAAATTGGTGACCTTACAGAACCCGTTCGTCGAATGCTCACATCCGACTAAGTTGGAGGTTGGGAGTGGGGCACCATTCAACACGAAGCGGATATAGTCGGTCGTGTTTTGTGTATCGGATAGGTCTGGATTCACATAAAGAGTGCTATCTAACACCTCGATTCTGGCTTCTTCGGGACAGGTCCAGACTTCGGAGATCAGGCGTGCTCCAAAAGGCGCCACCTTGTTCAACCGAAACGTCCGTGGGACGGCATGGGCTACCTTTGAAGGCATACCTCTTGGCCCGTAGTTGAAGTACTGGAGTCCCAGGGCAGTAGTGGTACCAATAATGACTTTGTCGTGCGTCATATCCATGTACAGTGGCTGGTGGAACGGGAATGTAGCGGCGTCACTATCATAGGTAGTGTTAATACTGGTATCGCTTGAAGTGATTAATCTTTCCTCGAGTCTGGCAGCCAGCTCGAGGATATATCCGATCCCCTGCGCTCGTCCTGTAGGGGAGCCAAATGCAGAGGCGCCGTAAAGGCGCATATCAAGGTGGTAGGCGAAATCGGCCCATTCCTGTTCGGTAAAGAGACGACAGAACGATGAGCTCCCTAACGTTGCGAATTCATAGGGACAAAGGTTCATCATTGCCAAAACATCAGATGTGGTTAAATTGAAGTCGCCTGGAAAATACTTCTTCAGTCTTGCGAGGGGGTCTTTAATCATTGTAGGAATGAATTTCTCTGAAGCATGTGTTCTGTAAATGCATTAGAATTTCAAGTCAAACGCCCATGTGGAAGACTCTTGGGCTTTTGTGTACCCTTCTTTTAGATCACCTGGGCAGGAATGTTCGGCCGCCAGTGTATTGTTTAAACCGTCGCCCTCAGGGATTACCACGAGATTGTACGAGGTATTGGCATGGCCGGGCCCGAAGAAACCAGCTGCTCAATTAGTAGCTTGAATCAATGCACGACAAGACTATACGATGGACTGACTTAACCACCACCTTGCACTCTCTGAAACCCTCTGCTTATTCGTAGTTCTAAAACTTGGCTTCGGCCTGCGAGTCCCATTTGGATACACATTCAACTCCGGATCCCAGACTGCCATTCCAGGCGGCGCTCGATACAGCATACGTCCATACTTCGACCATATATCAGCCCCGGAGCTTGCCTCAGTTGCAGTACCCGCAGCAAGCAAGATATCGCGGCCGAGGAGGTACTTCCAATTCTTTAAAAAGGCCAGCGGTCCTGTGCCGACAGAGACATCGTGGTCGTTATTATAGCTCTTCAGCTTCTGGCTGAATCTCTCCATTCCCTCTCCATCAAACCAGGCGGACTCGGGATAACGCGCTGCATGTCTATGCAAAACATGAACTTGCGATAGTTCGCAACCACGGGGTACGCCCTTCGGGACGCCAAATCCATCGGCTTCCTTGTAGGGACTGAGATTTGCCCAGCTGCTAGTTATATCAAAGCCGGGCGAGTATTCAGCGCTACTTGGTCCGGCGGCCTTTAATGAGGAGCTTGATGAAGGTGCATCCCGAGTGAATGCCAGGAGGGCAGTCAGTACAATTTGTGGGTTTAACCAGTGGACCATTTCTCCTCTCGTCTTTCGTGTTGTGGTTCATATGGAGCAAAGAAATGGGGAATCGCATCAACGTGGGGAAACTCCCGACAGACGTCATAACATATCCACGTCATCATCGCTCGAGGCGGGAGGCAGAACAGATAGGGCTTAGAGTATTATATGGCCAAGGTGAACAGGTAGAAAGAAACAAAAGGAAGGTAAAAGCAAAGGATGAACCAATTCCTCGTTTAAATCAGACAATACGGACCTTCATGATCGATATAGGCCTTCCGTACAGCTATTGGCTTCTTGAAGGTGCAAGAACATATCTAGTGTTTAGGAAGGCTGGAAGTAGAATCTATCATCCTCACATTCAGTGGATATTACCACACAAAGGCGTCTTAATGAGCCGCATCATGAACTATTCATCTTTGAGTACCGACCTCGCTTGAGCGCCGCAGTCGAACTTTATGGAGGAGCAATGGTTTGCCGATATATCTGGGGTCTTAACCAACCATTAGGACGCACCTTTTGCCAGCTCTCATCGCACTCTGCCCATTCGACATTGATTTCCGTACAGATGAACCATTACTTACGTGAGGTTAGTATTAGCCTGAGGCAAAATTATAAGGCCTTGACATAATTGTATCGATAGGACGGCACCCACAGCGAAGATTTCAAAGTACGAGGGAAGGACATGGACACATGGTTCTAGGATGCCCTGAAGGCAACGAACTAAATATAGCCTGTGCGAACGGCGAAGAAGTCCGTTTCGAGAACATCTCCCCTTTCCTAGATCGCTTGGTACTATGATGTAAGAAGCAAGCACGCGTTTTGGCTTCCTTGACTCTATTAACCCACAAGCACATATGTGCTCCTGCTCAATATCTAGTTTAATTCAATCCCCGAGGCTGGTGTGTAGTATCCTTGGTCATCTTACTTTAATCACCTCCTCACCCCAATACAAGAAATGATATATTATCATACACGCAATACCGAATGCGGGATTCTGTACGATGCACAGTCAGAAGCAAGCTGCTACAAGATAACACCTGTCCATACACATGGACTAGGACTAGCTGGTTTAATTCAAAGATGGATGATAAACTGGGGAAAGTCAATTTGTGCGCGCATGGTATAGGTCTGGACGGGCTGTTTCCTTTGCAGCGTAGGGATTTCATGTAATATACCGGGGTGATGCGCGCAAACATTCCGAACATTGAGGCGACGGTACCCAGCTTGAGATCCAACGAATGCAATTGGCATACTTTAGCTATCAACATATCGGCCTTGCACAGCGCGGGCGTCGTCCTTGACTGGAACACATGGTACCAACCCTTTGAGTCAGAGCTACGCCTGCTAAATCTGCCTCCATACCAATGGCATCTGAAGAATCATTGGATTCAACATAACGGGGATTGGCTCTTGCTGAAGGATAAACAGTCCAGGGCTGAAAACGAGAGCTTTCCAATCCCTGCTCCCCCATCCTTGCGCACCCCTCTCGTGCACCAGATACTGGAAGAATCATTCGGGGAAGACGGTGGGAGCATTGTCATCCAATCAGATGTGACTGACGATGATATCTTTGCTGTTGCTGCAGGACACAGAATGAGTGGTCGGCCACTCCTCTCGGCAGTAAGTGCCTTACTTGCTTCCAGCAATCGATGAACGACTCTTTGACTGACAATCATTTTCAGTTCGCTTACACTGACATCGCTGTGGCTATGGCGAGATATATCTGCTCCAGACTACAACCAGGAACACAGCTCTCAACCCTGAAATTTGGCAAAGTCCAGCTTTTCCAGGGCTTAATATCCCGGAAGGATAGGTCTCAGCCTCAGTACGTGCGAATGCGCATGCAAGCAGATCGCATGTGCTCTTCGATGCGTCTGTCATTGCATCGAGCTCTTGACGCTAACTCAAGCGAGGAGGAACTGGCCACCGGTGTGGTGACGTGCGGAGACCCCCGATCATGGCGAGACGAATGGACTGCTTATTCGCATCTCCTGACAAGCCGGATTGAAGCGCTGCATCAGCTAGCAGATCAAGGGTTAGCAAGCCGCGTGTCCAAGGACTTGGTGTACACACTCTTCAAGAACGTCGTCGACTACGGCGAACATTACCGTGGCATCCAAACTGTTGTCATGTACGGCCTAGAAGCAGTTGCGGATGTCATTTTGTCCCCCAGCCAAGATAGCCGGTGGACGACACCTCCTCATCACATCGACCCCATTATACATGTCGGGGATCTTATTCTGAACGCCGGGCCAGCCACAGACCCCACCAGCACAATCTATGTCATGGACGGCTGGGAATCCATGCGATTCTCCGATCCCTTGGCGGCAGGCGTGTTGCACCGCTCGTACGTTAAGATGAATCCTGCCAACGATAATTCTGGATGTTATTCCGGCGACGTGTATATCTTGCACCGGGACCGTGTGATCGGAAGGGTTCACAAGATGGCGCTTCGCCCATTGCCTCGCATTCTCATGAGTCGGTTCTTCGACCCCCCAGACGGCCGGTATGGGCAAACGGTTCAGCAATATCCTTCTACTGCCGTCCCTTCAACATCGCAACACACGAATTCAACCACGACTACAGAGCCCACTCCGTCGCAGCAAGACGATTCAGAGAACACATCGCTCGTTACCCCTGAGACTGAACCCAACCCTCCAATATCGGTACCCTGGCCTAAAGCCAACAGTCAGCTTGTCCGTGACGCTATAGCTCTCATTGCGTCTGAGACCGGGGTAGAGTTGGATGTCCTGATAGACGAAACAGAATTTTCTGCTGTTGGGGTCGATTCACTTCTGTCACTGGTTCTGGTAGAGAAATTTGCTCTTGAGCTAAACGTTGATCTGAAAGGTTCTTTTTTCCTGGAAACTCCGACCGTTGGTGATCTGAAGACCCATCTTGAGACTAGCCAGATGACTGTGCGCTGATATATGTTTTCGATGAAGCTTTGTTTACAATAGGATAACTCTGATATAGTACAGCGATAGTTCGTTTGCATATATCTACAAGGAAGACGACCTACGACTATTCTGTTGAAGGAAAAATGAGGCATGGCCTGAATCTTCATCTTTAAAATGCCTCCTCGTCTCAGTAGTTGAACCTCAGCCCTTATATCCTGCAGATCTGTTGGACTGGCCCTCTTGTAAAAGGCTTCAAAAGCTGTAAAGGTTATGTAGATAATGAATAGTCGTTAGACTGTGTTGAAGAGCCTCGGTATTATTACCTATGAAGAAATACGTGCCAGGCTGCTATTCAAATAGCGATACATGTCACATTCCTCTCTATACCTCTGCAAGACAATGAACCCTTAGATTCTATAAGCATCAGATGTGTATAATCAGAGCTATACGCAAGATGAGCATTGGTCCCTGGCGGACAACTTACCAGTATGCCAAACCCTAGCTTATGATGCGACCAAGAATCGGACGTAAACTAGGGCCAAACCAATCATATGCTGCGTATTCGCGTGACGAGACTTACTCGTGCTTCATGTTGGTTAGTTAGTTATTGATCTGAGATTTGTCAGCAGTGTTATATAGTTAGTTAGCTATATTTACTGTTATTACATACGCTGCTTGTCTGCAAGTTCGGCGGTATAACCCGTATCAGCCTCTTTCCAATCCCAGCATTGCGTAAGATCCAACTAGGCCTCATTCTCTTCTCTCTTCAGCCTCCAATAGGAGCAAACCTGTGCGAAGACTTTTTCCGTGTCTCGGAGCAGTTCTAGATGCGGATAGTCCTTGCCTAGGTCCAGCTATCGACAGCTTGTCTCACTTCTCAGGTGATGCCCTTCAGTTCTATATTGAATTCAGCGCAGGGATAGCTTGGTTGCGTAAGTCCGCGGAGAACACCGTACCCTCAGCGAGACCAGGTCTCAAATATCAGCCACCGCAGGGGCATCAGTCAAGGGCTTGGAGATCTCCGATCAACTCCGTGGTTATCTTCACTGGCTCCATGATGGAGCAGGTATCCCAAGTTCAGTGTGTTAGCCAGTCACAAGGTTGGCAGATCGTGTTCCTAGCAGGAAGACACAAACGATAGGCAATCAGCATTGTTGAAAGCACGGGAAGGCGATACTGTCATTACGCTCACTTTCTTTGTTGGTATGTCTCGGATTGAAACCAGGCATTCGCCTTCCTGGCAATTACCCCTATCTTGTCAATAGAGTCAACGATGCCATTTACGGTATTCCCAGCCGTGGCGCCAATACACAGCGGCCTTTGCCACTTTCGATGAGGGTCAATCCCCGTAGTCTGGGGCATCCTATGGCTCCGTGTAACAAATCAGCCCTAGTCGCGAACCGATTTAATGGCGGTGGCTTAGGAAGGTTCTAGATCACGCATATTCTACAAATTCTCGGCTAACTGCATGGATACCCCCCCGAATTGTATCAGGTATTCGTGAACTACCTGCCCTGGCAGCCTCTCCCGCCAATTATCGCACTAGATATGCCGTGATCGACAACTCGGGGGATGAAACCAAAGGCAACGGTGACACCCGACCAGAGGACGCCCTGTTACTTCCAGAGACTAGCATATTCACCTGATGCAATGAACCTTAAAGACAAAGGAAGTGGGAACCTATGAGAGATTAACCCCTCCACGACCTGCACAACTTACGGGTAGCTGTAGTGGCAGACGGGCTGGCGAATAGACCTCGTCAGCCCACTCTAGCAAGCGAGGTGGAGAACGTAAGAATGTCCAGATTGGCGTACAGAGAGCCCAAGGGAGCCAAGGGAATAGTCACACATGTTGCAGAAGTTAGCAAAGGACCTATGCAGAGTAGATACACAAATAGAAGGTACGGCACAACAGCGATGGCCGAGCGTCGGGCCAGCAAGAGACAGAGGATAGGCGCCACCAAAACAAAGAAGTCGATGCCAAGACGGAAGGATGCAGCATTAGTTGAAAGAACGCAGTAAAAACTGGATACCAAGGGGGGCTGGGCAATGAGCCCACAACGGAAGGCTACCAAGTGGAAGATATTCCAAGCAGAATGCTACGTGTGTGAATAACATTTGAGGGCCTCATAAACTAAAAAAGAGACTTGCACCAAAACCAGCTCCCATAGCTCAGTTGGTCTAGAGCATCAAGCTTATATGACCATTGTACTTTGTACTAGGTTGTATGCGTCTCTTGGAGGTCGACGGTTCGATCCCGCCTGGGAGCACTTTTTTTTTTTCTTAGCTTCCGGCAGACCAGGTAGGAAAGCGGACTACCAGAAGCTATTTTCCGGTATATATTGATCTTGATCCTCCTCAATCTGCTCTATTCTTTTCAACCCGATGTTCTGAAATCGTACATAAAGCATTCCATTCCTAAGTCTAGTTGCATAGCTTTTCCGTTCGTCCCAGTTTCTACGCGAATAGTTTAGCTCGTCGGACATCATGAACTTACATGACATCTCCTTCACCAGCCTTGGCTTAGTCGTACTCGACGAGATCCGCCTTCCCCATAGGAAGGCATTAACTGATATCCTGGGTGGTTCTGGCGCTTACGGTGGGCTTTCGTGTTTTGTACCTCATGAGAGTAATTGAATTGTTAATATCACATTGTCTTCATAGCCACGCTCGGTGCCCGGCTGTTTCTTCCTCATCCACGAAGCCATTCCTTAGGCTGGATGGTCCATGTAGGAAATGACTTTCCGAAACCCATCGAAGACCGTTTGCAAAACTGGGATGTAGCATTGGTCATAGAAAGGGAATCGAACCAGCCTTCGACTAGAGGCTTTCTTGAATACAAAGATACTACATTTGGACGTACGACATACCTTTCTTCATCACACTCTGGTTATTCCTTGGCCTACTGCCGACACAAGCTTCTCATCAACAGCTTCCTAGATATGTGGTCAACCCATACAAGTCACGCTAGCTAACAGGTGTTTCTAGCCAAGGAGTTTAAATACACAACGCCCATCCTCGCAACTGAGGATAGCAGCTTGAAGAACACGCCACTCCTGACATCCAGGGTATATCACTATCTTGAAACTCCCCAAAATATTACGGTCCGTCTCTCCAGTCTCCTTGCGCTTAGGGAAAAGGCAGGCGTGCCAGAGCGGCCATTCATTATCTGGGAACCTGCCCCATTCTCGTGTACCGTGGAAAATTTGCAGAGTTGCCTAGACGCCGTATGTATGGTTGATGTGTTCTCCCCAAATCACCTCGAATTAGCCGCACTATTTGGGCAATCGCGACCAGCCGTCGCAGACAAAGATAAGACCGAGGCTCAGGCACTGCGGTTCTTGGACAATGGTGTGGGCCGCGGCGGAAAGGGTACAGTAATTGTCCGAGCAGGTGAGCATGGCTGTCTCGTTATAACTCGCGATATGTCTCCTATCTGGCTACCGCCGTTCTATCGATCTAGACCTGGAGATAACCCGCACGCTAAGGTAGTCGATCCCACTGGCGCCGGTAATGCGTTTCTTGGGGCATTTGCCGCTGGGTATCTGCAGACGGGAAGTATCGTTGAGGCAGCTTGCTATGGCTCCGTTGGAGCTTCTTTCGCGGTGGAGCAGGTGGGTATGCCGGAGAGGAGTAACGATCGAGGGGAGGAAGTGTGGAACGGTGCCAACGTGCTCTCGAGATTGCATGAGTATCGCAAGACTATCTGACTCGCTGTTATTCATCGTCGACTTGACGACATGTGGTTAATGTATCGAGGACTGATGAAGAGTAAAAGCTCGGCTGTTGCGTCGCATGGAAGCTCACATATTTAATATCCAGTTGCTTTTGGTATGACGCTCATGGCTTACGTGCAAATACTGCGTAGGCCTCTCTGGCTACGAATCCATAACCTTCAGTGAGCACTTGGTGAACATAACCTTTTCCTACCAGCCGCTTTTGGGGTTACATTCTCCCTCTTTCTTCTCTTCTCATTTCTATTTTTCTTCTTCTGTTCGCTAGGGTCCTGGATCCCTTAGATCAAGCAATTGAACCTCTTTGTGAGAAGAGCCTAGTATTCCATCTTATAACGTTCTGGTTTTCTTTGGACAAAGAGCTGTTGTTATCGCCACCAACCAAGACTCCCTCAACATGCCAACCACTATGATTATATTCTGCAGAAGAACAACCAAACATTTGATGCGGTATTACGTCGCTTGTAAGATGTCTCGCAGCTCCTCCGACAGAGGATAAATACATTCGACCGGAAGAAGAGCTTCCGCATCTTCGACATCCCCCCTATCCAGGGCCCTCTTGACATCCCCCATCAGACCCGTCACGTCCGTGATGGAAACGATCCACTCATCCACGTATCGCTCAACCGCCTCCCCACTGAGCCCAATCTGAATCGATCGATGTCTTAGTGGCCGGTGCCACAGATCTCGCTCCGGATCCCACTGGACACGGACCGGACTCTCCCGGAGACGCTGACGCCACTCGTCTTGCTCTTGGGCCTGGGCGCCAGGCACATGACTGAGGCAGGATCTTCTCAGGGCCCATTCGAAGCCTTCGCGCGTTATCTCGATCGCCAAAACACGTTCTTGGTTCGGTTTGGTGGCCCAGCCACAGCGGTAAGCCATCCAGAGGAAGGACGGCTTGATCCAGGTCATGCGCGTGCGGGAGAATGGAGGGACGAATTTCTGGGCCCTCCGAGCAGGTTCGGCGATTTCGGGGGAGAAGGCTTGGTAAATAGTGATCGTGGATCCAGTGGACTTTGCACGGATCGCTCGGACGGGTTGGGGTTGGGGGGGTTGGGTTCTTCGGAGCCATTCTCTCTTCATTTTACATCTGTAGTCCCAGCTGATAATGTATTCGATCTTCGTCTGTTGGGAGCCAAGCTACAACGCCGGGAGAAGAACGATCAGTACCAGACAGCCTGATCGATGTCACGGGATCGCTTTTTCTTTTCACACAAGTTACGGAGCCGCATGGATCTTGGACGATCCGCACATATTTTTTTTTACGGAAAGAATGAGAACGCGGTTTGCA